CATTCCTCCACTGGGAAGCAGCAGCCCTGAGCCCTCTCCTGGCGTCAGGTAACTAAGCCCTTTCTTTGCAAAGCAAAGGCTGCTCTATTCTTTCCAAACAATGTTATCATTTGGCAGCAGTGCTCCTGCTTATCTGGCAGCTTCAGCATTACCCAGAATGTGGAAGAACTGGGCTCCACAGCAGCTTCTCCGCCCGGAGGCTCTGTGGTGGGGAGAAACCCCGTCTGGCTCGCAAAGGGTCTGGGCATAGCAGAGAAACCACAGCTCCCAGGCTGAGGATCTCCTCCCACGGCGGCCCCTGTATTTTCCCTGCACCTCAAAACTCACTGCTCTTCACCCTGCAGCCCCTCTGGGGCTCAGCACCAGCTGTGCAGACTTAGCAGGAACCACACAGTTCACATCCAGCTGCTGACCTTGCAAACACCTAGGTTCAACTCCTCTGGTATCAGCTGTCCCTCTGGCATCAAACCCATTGCAAACAGGACCGATCCAAGAGCACAACAAATACTTGCTTGTTACCCAGACAAATATCTCACTGAAAGTGAGGAACACCTCAAAAGGGAAAGAGCAGCAAACTGGATTTCACCACCTTACAACCCAGCTGTAGCCCCACCTCAACTGGTGTCCTTCTGGCAAAAGGATATAATCTCAAAACCTCTGCCAAGAAGGGCAGGACATCCCTCCTTTGGACTCAGCTGAGGAATGTGACACCCAACAGCAACAGGAATTGAATCCTAATGTGCCACCCCCCTGTAGCCCCTCTTCTTTAGGCCCCTGTCCCCCAGGGAGGTTGGGAGTGCAGTGCAGGCTCTTCTTCATCTGCACCCTCACACACCAGGGGACAAAGGGCAGTAGGACGGGGAGGCTCTGTTCTCCCCTGGATGGAGGCAGGAGAGCAGCACAATGCAACCAGAGGCACCTGCCTGCCCAAAGAGCAAGAGCTGCAGATGTGCAGCCACTGACGAAAACCACAGCTCTTAGCATGGCATGGTTAATGCGACCCGACACCTCCTGCAGCAACCACTTCAGCTTCCTCTGATGCGTTACACAAGGCAGATGCCTTCAAGACTCCACCAGGTCCTGCAGCCACAGCTCTCCAGGCTGCCCATTGGTGCTGTCTGTCCTGCCCTGCAGCACTGAGCATTGCAATGCAGCCACCCAGCTCATCACCGGTGCCCGAAACCACTGTCAAAGGCCAGCTGCCACCACCACCAGGTCTTTGCACCACCACAAGACACATGCACACCCCTCAACAGATCCTGCCAGGACAGCCACCAGCAGGAGGTAACACTTTAAACCACTGCAGAAAGACATGCTAACTCATCAGCCAAAGGCCCGGCTCCACTTGTTTTGGAGAGTAGCAGTTTTGCAGTGAAGGCAAGGAGTCCTGGTTTCCATCAGCTCTCCAGCAGAGACCTCAGCCTTGTAAGAATCTCTCTAACACACTAATCACTCCAAAAACTATACAACACAACCAACTGGGACGGAAGCTTGAAGAGACACTGTAAAATTGATTAGTGGTCAGAATCATCAGACCATAAAAGAAGCTCCAGCTGTGCTTCTCTTATGTATAGAAAAATGCAAGAGGCAGGGCTCTATTTAAAATTAATCCCTTTTTTTTTTTTTTTTGTTTACTAAAGCCTAAGTTACTATGGTTGACAATTAAGCTCATTATCCAACTCCTTTCTTTTCCATCACCCCAGTGCATTTTTTCATAGCCTATGAAGAAGAAAAATTCCAATAAGTGCTATTTTTAAATGAAAAATTAAAGTTTACAAAGAGGTCAGGAAGGTGTTTTAACCACTCAACCTTCTGTTTTAAGACTCCTGCAGAGGACTCAACACAAACAATTCCTTTTAAATTAATAGCAATTTCAAGTCACTCTGCTGCATATGAGCTTGAAGTTAAGCGCTGGCCCAAATGTTCTGCCAGATCCTTGGCATTAAGTGTAGGAGGGCAAGAGAAAACAAAGATTTAAATTTTGGCTATTTAACTTCTGCAAAAATCACTGTCAGCCCATATTTTTCAGTTCATACAAACCCCAGCAAAATATATTTAAAACAACAACTAACTTGGAGGTGAACAGTTCAGAAAAACTGCAGAAAAAACCCATAATGCAATGTAACTATGTGACTGTTCCCTATTAATCATTAAGCTGGGTGCTTAAGGTATCCCATTAAGAACCATGTCCTTATGGTTTAGTTTTAAAAACTAACCCATAGTTTTTGCAGATGCTTTGGCAAAATCACTAAGAATCACCCCTTTTAACAGTTAAAATATTCCCTCACTGCAGATGTCTGCCTTACCAGAGGCTATTCGCCTCCCCCCAACCCTGGGTACCACAAAGAGCCCACTTCAAACAAGTTTTTGTGCCTGGGTACCACGAATGTCAAGAGGAAAACCTCAAAACCACAACCAACATCATGATCTAAGACCTTAAGACAACATCCCCATTTCTACCTTTGCATCTGTCACCCTACAAAACAAAAATTCATAAATCCACCACAGAAATGCTCATTTCCTCCATTTTACATGTTGGGGAAAAAAAAAAAAATCAAGTAGGTAAACAAGAATTCTCCACAGAAGGAGCAAGAAGTTGCCTGGTTGTATTCCCAGCCAAAGCCAGGCCAATCTGCAGTTATATCAGGTTGGGTTTAACTCATCTAGTCAAGTTCTGACCATTCCCCCGGCCTCTCTGGGCCCCTGTTCCTGTGTCCGATTACCCTCGCTGTGACAATTTCTTCTCTAACATCTCACTGAGAAAGCTCTCACTAGTATCTCAGCTGGAGCAATACACAAGAAAAGGAGCCCTTCTCATTCCCACTGCGATCATTTCTGCCTGTATGCTAATTTGTAACCTAGCCAAATAAAAGACAAACTTGGAAGTTGTTTTATTGTCATTTTTCTGTCCTTTGGCAGGATGGGCAGCGCCAACGCGGCACATCACTGCCTTTCTCCGTACGTCTAGACAGACAATGCAGCCCAGAGAGCCTCCAAAGTGCACAAAACTCCAGGCTTTTTCAGGATGACTGCATTTATATTGCTATCTTACAGGGAAGAAATCCAACAACTATTTTTGGGGGAAACAGAAACAAACCACTGGATTCATGCCTTGTGCACAGCCACACCAAACAGCACCACATGCTTCATGGCACATGGACCGGCATCACTCTTGGTGACAGTCCCGACATGCAGACACCCTTCTCCTCCCCAGTCTCCAAAGCCTCATTGGTCTTTACCTAATTACAACTCCAGCCAACTTGCTTAACACCACTATCATCAAGAACCTTTAACAAGCACCAACGATTCCATAAATCTGCTTTTTATGGCATGGCAGAAGCCTAATTACACATGATTAAATTCTGTCAAAAATTAAAGCCCACACACTTGCTCTAAAATTGAAATCAGCCCTTTTAGGTACCAAATAGAAGCAATGCTAACATTTCAAAGACATGGTGGCAACACAGCTGAACCAGATTACATTACTGACCCTAAGCAAATCAAGGGCATTCCTTACTCCTCCTTTGAGTCCCTTTCCTTTATTTTCTGTATATGCTAGAGTTCTAAATACAGTCACTTTGACCCATGCCCTGAACTGTGACCATACAAGTCCCCAGCATTAATGAGCAATGCAGCTCAAACACCTATTAAGTCCATATTACATGCTGCTCTTCTATTGGGAGTCCCCTGATACTTTCTTAAGCATATGTTTTTGAACCTGACTGCAGAGGTTCAGAAATGTTTTGCTATGAGCCTTTTTATTTTTGTGACAACCCTTTTAATGAAGATTGAGCTTTTTAAATAGAAGATACACATCACTTAATTTTTACAAAAATGAGCATTGTAAATGAAGCACAACCTGTGTGTAAGATGGGACAAGGTCTGTACAAGATATATACTATGACAGGAAACAAAATCTAAAGCAAGCACATCTAAGATATTTGAGGATTTTTTTAGAGAAGGAGCATCATTTCAGCAAAAGGTAAAATTGCATGTTAGAAGTGAAGGAACGTTTGTGGTTATGAGTCCTCTAAAAGCACCCAGGAAGAGGTTCATCACACCTGGGAAACAGCAATGATACAGCAAAATCATGGTCACACGGAAAACAGAGTAGGTACCCCAAGAAGATGGAACCAAGGTGGAATACTGGCATCGCCGTGCCCTCCCAGCTCACCACTAGTACCATGTGACCACCAAAAGCAAACCTCAAACCCCAAGCGACTGCCCAGACATACCCCTGCTCTGGTCCTCAACATGGACCTACAAAAAGGGAAATAGCACCTGACAAGTACTAAAGGGACTTCTTAAATAATCGCATAAGAGATCTTTTGCAGCTTAACAAGCAAATATTATCATTAGGTACTATGTTTTTAATTACATGCATATATGTAATAAATGGATGAACGCATATTATGTCAAACCCAGGCAGCACCCTTTTACATACCTGATCTGTGCCTCCTCCAAAACACTGGCATTAAGGAACGTTCTTCTTGAATAATATGAGAAAATGGGCACAATAATTGAAACGGGTTTCTCTATGCATTTGGACTAAAAGGCCTTTCATCTTCCCCTCCTCCTGCTCTCAGAGCTAATACCAAGTGCAAGGAGCAAAGAAATACTGAGCTCAAGAAGGCTGGGGTGAACCTAGCCTGCAGTAAGTAACCCGCACCATCCAGCCTCAGTGTCCCTCAGCACCCACACCCCAGGGTTCCCAGACTGGCCGTGGGACCCAGGAGTACTGTGCTTGAGGGGTGGATGGAGGCTGCCTTAGATGACTAGACATCAGGGAGGGGGTGGGGAGGAAGCCAAAAACCAAAAAACCCCAGACAAAAACAAAACCAGAGGTGGCTTTGTGCCTGGTGTGGCTAAAGAGCTGCATTCTGGCAACTTATGAGCTTGCTCAGTGCTGCTGACAGGAGGAAAAAGCGCCAGCAGCAGGGAGCAGCCATGTTCCCTGAGCAGGGCTGGGGGAAGGTTCTCTCCGGGGAATTCATACTCACCTGGTGGTTTCATGTAATATTGCTCAATATCAGACATGTCCGTATGCAGCGCACAATCGAGATAGTGGAGGATAACTTTTCTACTGAAGTAGTACCTCATGCCCATCAGAAAGATGGGCAAACAGCAGGTCAGCAGGAAGGACTTGGTCACAACAAAGCATATTACTATGGAGATAAGGAAGAGAAATAAACGATACCTGTCAGAAAAGAGAATTTAGTGTTGATTTCGGAATACAAACTCATTATTAAAAAAAAAAACACAAACAAGCACAGACAAAATATACATTTGCAGTACACACACAAATCACATTCTCGAGATTATCATGTTAAATGATGGTGTATTGCACCGAGATAACCTCGGAGAAGTTTATGGGGTGCTTGGAGAGAGCCGGTGGGGAGGATGCTGCCTTGCCACGGCACGGCCCACCGAATCCCCCCGCAGAGAGGCTGGTGGGGACACCGGGAGCCAGGCACACCCCAGGCCCCGCTTTGCTTTCCCCAGTGAGGCCGAAACACGGCTGAGGTGGAAAAGCCCCGCTGCGGCCACAGCGCTCCGCAGCCATGTGTCTGTCACTGCGGCATTACTATTTCCATCACGGGAAGCACCGACTCCCAGGGAAGGCACCCTGCTCGCCTCCATGGCGGGGTGCTGCCGAAGGCCTGGGGGGCTTCGGTGAATGCCCCCGGAGATGGCGGCTGCCCCCGGCATCACCCCTGCCTCCCAGAGCCGCCAGCTGCGCCTCAACTGCCTGCTGGGGAGGGAGGGGGGGGGTTGCCCCTCCAGCCCAGGGCCCCATCCTCCCCCCTTGGCTGGGGCATGGGGCTACAACCTGTCTGCAACCACCAAGGGCATGAGAAATCTGCCCAAAGCTTGCGGGGACACACACACACATATTTTTAATGATTATCTGCACGGGGGTCACACTATTTGCACGGAGAGGAGGGCACCTTGCAGGCGCTATTTTGGCATGCAACTCCGAGAAGTGAGCCCCCTCCCCGGCTCGGCCCTGTTGCGGGGGGCGCTAAGGGGTAAGGGGGGGATGCCTGTCTCTTATAC